GCAGGACGCGCCGGTGGGGAGGCCAGCCCACAGCGCTGCGCCCCCTCTCGGGACCCAAGAGGAAAAGGCCTTCGTGTATTGCCGCCTCCTGGTGCTGGTGCCTCCTGATAGCCTTGGGCCTCCAAGTCCCACTCGTGACTCCCTGTGAGTGCGCCCGGCAGCTCGAGCTGCAGCCACTGCTGTGCCCAAACCCTCTTCTCCTCTACTCCTCCCACACAGCCTGGGGCCTCTTCACGCATGCGCAGCACTGTCACCCTGGCTGTGTTAGTGCCCCAGGTGCAGGGTCGATGCTGAGGTCCAGGCTCATCCACCACAGGACGGGGGACCTGCCACACCATCTTCACCTCCTCCAGGGTCCCCCTGCTTTGGAGGCCAGGTGCACCTCACCCTCACGGCCGTCATGGCCTGAGCTATGCCAGGCACACCCGGAGGCCAGCTGAGGGGCTTCCAAGAGGTCAGGGAGCTTGAAAATCCTGAGGAACCAAGAAGGAAGAAAAGGCCTTTGTGACAGGCGAGACTCGGGGTCCAGTCTACGCTCACCTTTCTGCTTCTATCACTGAGAGCCCTAAAAGGTTCTCCACCCCTGGGCAAGACTGGACAGCCACTTGCGGTGTACCCCTTCTCCTGACTCAGCAGTCCGCTCAGCTTCTCCCAACAAGAGGACAACGAACGGGTCATTGTGTCCATGTAAAGGAGAAGGAACAGGAGAAGAATAAGAAATCAAGCCACTGGCTCGCGGCCACTCCAAGGCAAGTGCAGGGGGTAGATTTTCTAATCTGCTGTGATCATTTCCTCTGCCTTAGGTCTTTACAGTGAACTTTCACGGCTGAGTGTGTCCAGGCACGTCTCTTCCTGCCACTCACAAGCACGTTCCCTGCAGGATAGTATCTGCGCTCCATCCCTGTTCCCCATCCCGTGCTGGCTCAGTTTCCCTTTCTCCTTCCATACAACCCTGGCTTAGCCTACCCATTTTCTAGTTTGAAACATTTATCATCTTTGCTTTGACCCTTTCCTTCATTGCCTAGATGCAATTAGTCTCCAGTTCTATTGGTTTTTATTTTGAAACATCTAGGGAATCTGCCTTTTCCCATCTTTAATATCTTCACCATAGCAATTAGAATAGAAACAAATACCACTGATGATAAAGACCAACTGGGGTGTGCTCAAGCAAGAATGGATGGGGAGGAATAGAAACACACAGATACATAGATTCATAATTATTTGAGATAATGAGTCTTATTTCTCACAGAATGGCCCATGGGACCATTGTTCCATAAGTACAATTTGGTAAGGGCTTATCTAGCCATGAGTGGAAGGTTTCACAGAATTACAAAACAGCTATTTTTATCTTTTAGTCTGGTACCTAGTGCCAAGCACTGTAAATGTCTGGTGCACACATCACCACTCACCCAGCTTGTGAACACGGCAAGCCTTGCCAATGCACCACCACATCCCTTCACATGGAAGCCAGAAAGGACATCAGAACCATCTTCCAATGGCCACAGCAACCAGCCCTGGCCGGAGTGTCAGCTCCAGCTTCCCCAAGGCCCAAGGCTGGCGTTAAATAGTTTCGTATCAGTCCTTACCACCTGGCTCAACAGAAAAGCCAGGTCTCCAAATCCTTTCACACAGGTGTTGGCTCCAAGCAGAGCCCTAGGCCCTAACAAGTGCTCAGTTGTCGTTTGTTGCCTGCACAGCGAGCACTGAAATGGTATCACTAGCATTTGCATGGTGCTTAGTCACAGAGCACATTCACACACGGTGCCGTGGTTCATTAGTTCTGCCCACAACCCAGGAAGTAGGTCTGATTTTGCTCCCTGGCTTTCTTGCGCGGCGGGGGAGTGGCGCTTTCCAGGGGCCAAGACTGCTTCTTACTGGGCTCCACAGAGTCAGCTCAGAGGAGGCGGTCAGTTTGTCAGATCAAAGTATGAACCCCGCGGGTGAGGAAGGAGGGCCATGAGGGCGTGTGGCAGACAACCAGGTCACCCCTTGCCTCCGAGGCCAGACGAGTCCACCTCAGGGCCCAGCTCTGACACCTTCACTTGCTCTGTGTCTGGATTCCACCCTCACTGGCTTTTCTTTCTTCCCCATAATGAAGCAAAACCCACTGGGTTAATTTGCCCTTCTCAATGCTGGGCAGCAGTAATTGGGTTGAGAAGAAAGCTCTTCTCCTCCTGGGCCCCTAAGGGTGCCTGGCAGGAGCCCTGGGAGAGGTGGATCACAGCCTCCAGTCTGTTAATTGTTCAAGAGCAACTCCTCAAGAGCAGGAAATAGGAAAGGACAGCACTGGATTCAGAATGGGACCCTAAGTAATTCTCAGTGCTACACCCTTGAGGAAAACAAAGCTGCCATTGCTGCTTTGGGAAAACCAAACTGTTAGTGTGTCTGTGGGGTCTGTGTGGTCCAGTGGGAATGCTCAGCCGGCCAGACTGGCTGCCTCGGCTGGAGGATGGTGTTACCCCAGGAAGGCTCCCGGAGGCAGGAAGTCCCCTGGGGGAGAAGGATGTGCACTGCGGTGGACACAGAGGTCTCCTTGCTTCTACGAACTCCCTCCCACGTCCACCCTGAGTGCTCCCCTGGGGACCCAGACAGCACCCGTGCCCTGGTCCCTCTCCCCACAGACGCCTCAGCCCTGCCACCAGGTACAACCATGCTGCTCCTGAGGCCTCCTCCTCCTGACTCTGCTCACCCTCTCTCCTCCCCACCGCAGGAGTGCCGGTCCGTCGTGAGGCTGAATTCCACACCATCCTCTTCCTGCCGCCACTCCCTGGGTCACCCAACCATCCACGCCAGAGTGCAGGGCCCTGGCAGAGAGGACAGGCCCAGGTTCCAGTCTCGTCTCTGCTACTTGCTGCAGCTGTGCTCCTGGCTCTGGTCTTCTGGTCAGCTGGGCACCTCTGCAATGGGCTGGAGGTAGTAGCGGTCTGCTTCACAGGGCTGCACGAGGAGCAGATTGTTAATACATGTAAGTTACTGAGAACAGTGCTCACTCGAGCGCTTCTAGCCCTTGACTGCCTTTCACTGGGGTGGTTGGCGTCCGTCCTCCTCCCTAATCTCTGAGCTCTTTGCCAGAATAGTCCATCTTTGGTCCTTGCCTTTGTGCCCAGCACTCAGCACAGGGTCCCCAAATACTTGGCTACCTCTTCCCCTGAGGATTGAGCATCCCTTCCCATTGTGACCCACAGTGCTTTCTGACAGATGGGACCTGCCCTGTGACCCCAAGCGTGCCAAATGACCTGTTTTGGTCAACGAAAGCTGGGTGGCAGTAACAGACTGCCAGGCTCAGAAAAAAGCTGTGAGAGGCTATGGAATCTCACCTGCTCCCCTCCCCACTCAGAAGCAACAACAGCGTGTCTCAGACAGCACTGCTCCTTCATCCGGGATCTGGGCAGACAGAGAATAGCTTGGAAGGGGGGCAGAACCATGGCTGACTCACAGCCAGCACCTGGTAAGAATGAGAAATGTTCAACCGTAAGGCCCTGGCATAAGGCTTCTGTCCGAAACATACCTTAGTGACAGCCAGGGAATACCGTACCCTAGGAAGTATGTTGAGTAAGTGCGTGTGCTGACGGAAATGGTGAGTGGGTGGGTGTGTTACCAGGTGTTGGGGTGCTGGAATCCTCCTGAAGGTGGTTTCTAGGTTCTTTCTGTCCCGAGCAAAGAATTGGTCAAGACAAGTGCAAATGGTAGCCAAGTTTTATTAAAGGGAAGGATAGAAACAGGCTCCACAGAGCAAGTCTGGGCCAGGTAAAAGTAGGAAAAGAAGTGCACCCTACAGCACAAAGGCGGTCACCACGGAGGAGAGGACACAGCGGTAAACAGTCGGTGTTGATGGTCCTTTCTGGACCACACTCCTTGGGCTGTCAGGTCCCGGCCGTCCTATGGAAAACCTGGGTGAGTTCTCCAGAGAAGCCCACATGCAGGGCTTTGGGAACTGTTCTGAGCCTGTGCTGGGATCCCTTTAATTAACAGGACACACCCACTTGCCCAGCCAGCCTTGCTCTCCCCAAGTCTTGGGTCTCAGGTGAATTATGTTTTGTCCGCATGCTAGCCAGGGATATGTTTGTGTACACATATCACCAAACCAAATCAGTTAAGCATGTGCTTTCTAATAGTGGATGTGTCTTCTGACATTTTTTGAGCTGGGCATGGTGTCGCACACCTGTCATCACAGAACTTGGAAGCTGAGGCAGGAGGATCACCTGGAGTTCAGGGCCAGCCTAAGCAAGACCCAAGAAAGAAAGAGAGGGAGAGGGGAGAGGGAGAAAGAAGAAAGGAAGAAAGGAAGGAAATGAAAAGAAAAGAAAGAGGCAGGCCGGCCTTGCAAGCAAAAAGTGAAGCCGTGGCTGTACAGCCATTCACGGTCAGAATATCCGTGTCCAGATGCCACAGTGAAGTATGGTGGCCACGGGGACAGTAGCCGGCCTTGGGTAGCTACTAATTCAAAAGCTTCACATATCCCAGCTCAGGGGCCATCTCAGCAATGCTAGAAACAAAGTATATATTCCAGATGTGCAAACTGAGGCTCAAAATCTGTGTGAAACAATCTCAGAAACAGTGATGGTCCAGATGCGAACGCAGGTCTGTCTGGTGAAAGGCTCATCTCCTGCTGCCAGAGGACACCGGGACTGTGAGAAGATGCGGAGGTGGCCTGGGCAGCTCGGCTCTCGGCGAGATGCTTCCTGTGCCCCTCGGACCCTTCATTCCCCTTTGGTGTGAGGATCTCTGAGTTTGCCATTGGGGATCTAAGTGAAACATCCCTGGGATTAGGCAGACTATCAGTCATTTCCTCTAAGGAAATGGCTTTGTTTAATCAGATTATTTTCC